AATTCTTGTTGGTATCTGGAATACCACGTTTCATCCGTGTCCAAATAGTACAGGATTATGATTACTTGGCAGTAAGCCATAATGCTACAAAACGGCCTCTGTAAAACATGTTTTTAATTTGTATTTTAAACAATGTTCATAAAACATTCAAAAAGTAACTAGATCATGCAGTTGTTTTTCCAGTGTAATATGATTATTTGTGTGGGTACATGCACCCCAGTGTCTGATTGGGTGTGTTGGCGCTCAATTCACAGCGTGTGCAGCCAAGAAACGTCCATCACTTGGATTGACGGTTAGGTTTATGGAATTTTTTACAACAGCGTAAGCTGTCACTGTTTGATTTGCTCCCATCCCATAAACACACATGTTTGTTTTTGTGAATTGTGGGGACATTCCATAGGCGTAATGGTTTTTATACTGTACAAACTATGTGCTGTTGCCCTACACCAACCATACACCTAACCCTACCCCTTACAGGAAACTGTGCATTTTTACTTTCTCAAAAAAACTCACTCTATGATTTATAAGCGTTTTGAAAAATGGGGACATGGGCAATGTCCTCATAAGTCACCTTTTCCTTGTAATACCTATGTCATACCCATGTCCCATACAGATCTGTGGCCTCATATGTCACAAAAACGTGCGCACACACACACACACACACACACATACATGTTTATAACATACCAGCAGCGGTTTTACTGAGGTGAGATATGCACTGTAAAAAATGACCGTGAATTTAACGGTAAAAGACTGTAAAAATGCTACAGTAAAAACCTGTTAAATGGTTAACGGTAAATTCACCTACTATACACGGTGAAAAACTGTATTGGACATTACATGTATTGGACATTAATTTTACGGTAGTATACCGTTTTTGGAAGTGAAATAGGCCGTATAATTTATAGTGAATAACCGTAAATTGACATTCCCAGAATTCCCTGCATTACATTTCAAATTTGATGTTTTTTTGTTGAAATAACTATGTTTCTTCTTAGTTTTTTCTTATCAGTTTTGTATATTAGGGTTGAGTGTTTTTTACACCTAATGTTGTTAAATGAATGTTTATTGCATTATTTCAGTTTCATGTGTGTTACCATGATGGTGTTTAGTGTTTGTGTGAATAACACGGCGCACCTTCTATATATGTTATTATTTAAAAGCTACTTGTGATGGGCTTTGGTTCATCATGTGACTTTCTCATCACCACCTGCATTTGGTGGTTATCAGTGTATTACAAAGGTACAAAACAGATGTCAGTGCTTCAATAGGTTGGTATATAATAACATTTTATCAGTTAATGAAATTACGGTATTTGACTGTAAATTTAAGTTAAAACCGTAAAACCTAAAACGTTGCTACTGTATTTTTTACGGTAAAATTCCGGTAACCACAGCTGCCGTTTTTTTACCGTAAATTTCATGGATTTTTTTTCACAGTGTGGGGCATTCTTAAGAAAAATTACCATTTGTGTGTTACATGTGTTCTTATCCTGATATAATTAACTGATACTGAACTTAGTCACATTATTTGATCAATTTAACTTTGAGAAAATGTTACATTTGTATTTTTAGTTTTACAATAAAAAAATTGATGTAGAAACAATTTTCACGTAGAAATTGGTAGTAAATTTTACAAAAAATATGCAGAAACCGCAAGTAACACGTTGAATTAAACGTGAAACTAGAACTAGAAAAACTGAAATAGTATTTTCTTGTAAAAAGTACTCCAATAATCTTTGTTTTATTTACTAACATTTTTTTTACAGTGTACTTTTTTCTTGGCACTCAACCTGCTGTGACATTTCCCCATTTAAAATACAGATTTGATCTTTGTGACTTCATTTGGGGAACATTTAAAAAAAAATAGTTCAAACAGAGGTACATTTCTCATAAAGTCTTTATCAATATATCATTATGTGTACACATTGCCTTGTCAAGCTCAATAGTTCAGCTCTTTTATGGGAAGAAATAGTGTTCTTGGCACAAAAATACTAACTGTAAATAATGTATCTGACACTGATATTTGCTAGATAAGACTGTTAACAGACATTTTTTTGCACTGATCTTAAATTCCTGTAACATTCAACCCCAAGACATTTGCAAGGGTTGACATGCTTTAGAGACTAATGTCATGGGCTATTTAAATTATAATGTGTGATTTCATACAAAGCACACCAAAACTGAGTGATAGTATCATAATTTACTCTTATGATACTACTTAGAGTTATGAGGCTGAAATAATGCAGCACTTTAGGGTTGACCTTAAAGCTACTGACACTTTAAAAGACTATAATCATAATTTAGGACTCAGAATTAAAGTTTAAGAAATCTTCATTTTTTAAATGCATTCATTTTTAAAATGATTCATCCATGCATATGTTTCACTTAAATTTAATTTTTTTTGACCAATTCAAGTTGATCCGTTTTACTTGGATGTACATCACAATACAGAAAACAAATCTGTTGCTGTATCTTCACGACTTTCGAAGTAGTATTCAGTTATATTTTGTTGACCACTAATCTAAATATTTGGGACTATTTATAGCCCTTTTTGTATGTCTGGCTGGTTAGGGAAATGATACTTTGGCCCACAAGTGGAAATAAAATGATTTACTGAAAGTTCAACAGTAACAGTGAAGCCACAAATGCCACTGCCTCCTGAGAATTACCCATGTATGAGTGCAAAAGTCACTGTAAGGACAAATTCAGATGTATTTTCCGTGAACGGATGTGTGCAATGCAACACAAGAAGCATGTCTGAATTTACAAGATGCTAAACCAAGCTCTGTTTACACACCCACACCAGTTAACAAAAGATCCCTCAGGTTCTCTGAATATGGCCACGCACTGACAATTTATGGCTGCCCACAGTCAAGCCCGTTGGGTTAACAGGTACATCTGTGATGAGCATTTTTGTGGAAATCTGTTACCTATTGTGTGTCCCAGGTGCCTTCCACCTCCTGAAAGAAATGTGTTTTCCCAGGTAACTGCACACCCTTTATAGGAACAGTCTTTCAATCCCTTGAGCTACAATTACCTGAATTTGTATCGATACTCAGCCCACAAACAAAGCTTTAACCTATGTTTTTCAAGGTGTTAACAATGTTTACCCGTGTAAAGAGCTGTCTCAGCAGATCACCCTGATGGTTTAGGTATCTGCTGTCTATTCTGTGCTCTCTCTTTGATAGAAATATGAAAAGGAAGTTGACGGCGGGGTTGCCCAGGGAAACATTCCTTCTTGATACATAATATTTCCACCAGTTCAGTTAAGTTTCTCACAGTACAGATCAGCAAGTACCTGTGCCAAAAATATTGGATTGAGGCGTTACACTTTCATTCTGTGCATCAGGTCTATTATCTGCAACCTTGAAGGGCTCGTAAGTTATCATTTTATTTTCTCCCCTGAGGTCCAATTATAGTGTTAGTCAAGGTTTCTGCACCAAAACAGTCAGAACAGTTAGGTGACATCCTTTGAGCCTTCACGGTTATAGTTTAAACGTCTGCTAAATGAAAAAAATGCACATGAAATGATTAGAGGCCCTGTTAAAATAACCATAAGCCATTTTCTAATGCAATGTTTGGTAGACTTTAACACAATTTGCTCTTATTAGGAGTTTTTCTGGTGTTAGGAACATTATGTAACCTTCCTTCCATGGTTGGACCAAGAACCCCAAATAGGTATTGCATGTAAACATGCATGAATGTACTCATCTGTCTGACTTTCAGAGATACAAAACAAAACGTTTTTGCAGTTTAGTTGAATGTATGATCTTTATGGACTAGGGAGGAGCTCTAAAAGTTGTATTATGCTTTCATAGTACAACTCTATTAATCAAAAATCCAAGAAAATATCGATTCCTCATGATATGATCCTTTTAAAATGTACATATGCAACAGAGACATGTGCATCCTTCAAATGCAAGCTACATTTGAATGAAAATGTGAGCTGATAGGTGATCTGCACCCTTCCCCCCCTTATTTAATTATAAACAAAAAATACAAAACAATATCACATTTTAATTAATATTCATATGTATCATTTTAGTTTTATATATTAATTTATTTTGTATTTTAGTTTTAAAGTTGTGGGAGACAGAAAGCTCAGTTTGACTTTGTAAGGCCAGTTTTATTAGTTTATTGTAAATCATTTAATTACAAATATTTTTATTTAATTGTAATTTAATTTAACAAAATGTAATTGTATATTTTTGTGTACTAACAAAACATACCAAAAAGAACATGTTGAGTTGGAAAAAATTGTAAAGCAAAACAAAAGATGTTGTTTTTCTTAAGGGTAAGTGTTATTACATTTTGTTATATAACAATCTTTTATGTATTACTTTTTTTTATTACTTTGTATATAACTTTGCACATTTACTATCCTTAAATTGGCCTTGGTCTGATATATAAAGAGAATTTATATGACATTGAAATTTATATCTTATTTGTATATTGTTATATGCTGTAACTCTTATGCTCACCAAGGCAGCATTTTATTTTTATACAGTAAAACATATTTATTGTGAAATATTATTACAATTTAAAATCATTTTTCTATTTTCATATATTTTAAAATGTAATTTATATCTGTGATGAAGCTGAATTTTCAGCAGCCATTATTCCAGTCGATCGTGAATTGTGTTGATTTGTTGCAAAAAAAAAAAAAACATTTCTTATCATTATTAATGTTGAAAACAGTTGTGCTGCTCTATATTTTTGTGGAAATCTGTTAATTTTCAGGATTATTTGATAAAAATAAAGGTCAAAAGAACAGCATTTATTTGAAACAGACCTTTTAGTAAAAGCTTTATAATATAAATGAGCATTTCAGCACCCAGATTTTACATCTGATAATATGTGGTGAACCAAAAGTCGGAAAAGTTTTGTTGCAAGTGTAAACAAAAATATCATTAAAATTAAATATTTATTTTTGTATTGATTGGATGCATGGCCTTTGCCATCAAAAACAATAGAGAATTTTTGTTCTCTTCCATTTACCTGTTGCAGTTTTACTCATGGAAGTATGTACTGTACCTCTTTGGGGGTCTGGTTATCTGCAATTCTCTGCCCCTCGAAAAGAAACCTTAGAGAGTTCATGGGTACTCCCTGCATAAAATAGAAAAACAAACAACATCAAAACCAGAAATTACACCTTCAAAAGTCTGAAAAATATCTAATATCTAAATTGATGTCATGTCTACTGCAGTGCTCAGGGTTCCTACAGTACATTTTACATTTCATTTCAAAATTCCATACTTTTCCAGACTCCCCTGTAGATTTTTCAGACTATACTGAACATCTGTTTAATGATTTTAAATTCCAACTGTTAATATGTATGCATCCCCCTGACTATGCATGCTATTCTGTTGCCAAATAATTGCGGAAATATTGTAGCTAGTTTCTGTAGTTCATGCAAATCAATTAACTCCAAAAATAGATATGTTCAATGTTCAGCATGTTATTAAAACTGCAATGCTAATTTACAAGATTATGTTTTACATACTTCTACACTTTCACTGACCACATACATCTGAAATACTTTCAATTTATAAGTTACAAAATAATATTGGCACTGTGGCAGTATATGCTATACAGTATAATAATGTTGGCTATACTATGGATTTATTGATAAAAACATTACAAGGCATTATCACTACATTCAAGTCCTCATCCATAAAGCATTAATGAAGTTCAAAAAAAGACTCTTAAGCCCCGTTCACACCAAGAACGATAACTATAAAGATAACGATATTAGCGTCTACACCAGCGAACGATATCGTCTGTTTATTCGAAGCCGCTTTAAATTCTTGAGCTCGTTACAGCAGGATGGATTCTGATTGGCTGTCAGTGTTTTATCGTCCATCAGCTGGAAAAAAATCGTTTTGAAAGTGATCACAACGATATCGTTCCTCTGTATCGTTACCGTTATAGTTGTGGTGTGAACTATGCTATTCTTTAATATTGAGAACGATTTTTAGAACTATATATTTATCGTTATCGTGCTTGGTGTGAACGGCCTTTAGACTCTAAAGAAACACACATAATGCTCCATACTTATCCAGACCTGGAAATCACTAATAATCAAATTCCATACAGTGTAGGAACCCTGAGTGCTTTGATATAGACATTAACATTAATGTTCATTAATGGGGTTATTAAATTGATCAACACTGAAGACTGGTGTAATGGCTGCTGAAAATTCAGCTTTGACGCAAATAACAGGAATAAGTTAAATTTCAATAAATAAATAAAATAGAAAATCCCTGAAAAAACTGATCAAGTGTGTGCTAGTGATGACTCACCTGTCTCTGACTGTAGGATTCCTTCAGCTTCTTTAAATGTGTCGTCATCTTCACTTTGAAGTGAATTTCGCTGTTGTCCTGCAAAAGGGAATGAAATCATACATTTTGGCAAGATTACCCAAATGGGATCTGATAACCTGAACTTCACGGTGAACTAGCAGAAGTATGCCTCTCTTTACCTGACCGATCACTTTCAGTTTAATATATTCTCCATCTTTCTTCTCGCCTCCATCACTTGAGGGCTTGGTCTCCTAGTAAAGCAAAACGAGAGCCATTAGATTCTATATGACATGTTGTTTTGTATCCTATGCAAGGCAATGAATGGGTGAGGGTTCAGTAAAACAATTCTTGGATATATTATATTATTAAATAGATCTGATTTTAATTGCTTTATTGACATCTTCATTCTATAGTGAAAGAAACTGATGAGCTGTGCTCGTGTGCTTTGACTGTAAACATACAACCAGACCTACAACAGTAAAGCATCGCGGACTGATAATGCGACCACAAGACCAAACATAGACCAACACGACCAAATATAACATCTTTTCATAATTAAATGATACAAAAGTAATGCATAAACAGTGGCTCCATCAGCTCAAGCCAGCATGAACTTTACTTTCAGGGCCCAGAGCAGCTAACTAACGTTAGCACCCAGGCTAATGGAAAGGTTTGAGGAAGAAATTCGCCGCTTTTTCAAGTTTATAAACCCAGGGACTAATGTACGAAATTCCGGAACCAACGACAATATACGGTTTAAAACGCTATAGCTGTTTATTCAGTATGACTTTCCCATCCACATAGTCAGCTAGCCATGAAAACACAGACAAGGCTAAAAGATGGGCCCACTTATTTTCAATTTCGACAAGTCCGTCTTTCTGTTTTCCTCTCACAAACAACTTCGATTCTATAAAACAGGTTTAAACTCACCGTGTCTGACATGGTATTCCGCAATATACAGCCCTTCTTAAGACCACGGTCGCTTGATTTAAATAATGAACTGTAATGTGCAGTAATGTGAGGTTTTGCTACCAGCAGACTCACAACACATTGGAAAAGGGGCGGGACTTCCCATGACGCTGAGTCGTTGACCCAACCGGTGTTGTTTTTCTCATCACGCTCTTTCTGATTGGCTCCATTCGCCCTCGGCGAGGTTAGTGTTGGATACTTCGGTGAAACCTGGGGAGGCATGTACTGTTCCAAAGCCAACTTTATCATATTTTTTACGAGAGTTTTAAAAGGGTTACGGAATTTAAAAAAAAATTACAATTAAAAAATAATACATAAACAACCATTTTTATGTTGGATTGTAGATATTCAAAGTTAACCTATAATAATTAAAATATAATATAAACATATAGAGCTGAAAATCTGAACATGAACAGTAAGGAGTTGGTGTTTTAAGTGCATAGTGTGGTCTTGTAATGCCAATGAAAACAACATGGGATTCCTCTAGTTCAGACGAGAGTGTACATGCGCACATTTCATTGGTAGTACTGCGCATGCTCACACTGTCCCCACGTGCGCACCGCCGCGTGGACCTCGAGCGACTCGCTTCAGCGGAAGACTCTCAATGTGGGGAGCGCGGCAGTGAACTTTATTTAGAGCTAGAAAAATATCAAAATGTTAGTGTTATTTGAAACTGCCGCCGGCTATGCCATTTTCAAGGTAAGCATATTTGTTATGTTGTTAAAGTTGCTATCATGATGTTTTTTTTTGCAGAAGTGTTCTTAGGTTTTGGGTTTACTATTAGCTAGCTAGCGTAGTTAGCAGTGCTATCAGACCAACGACTTTCGGAAAGTCGCAAGTTAAACCTTTTAAGTACTAAGTTCGTGAATGTACGTGCTCAATTTCTTGTAACTAGTATTTAACCAGATTTTTAAGTGAGGTCAGTAAGGTACTGGTCAGCTTGTGTCATGCGGCACAGCCACGTTGTGTCTTCGGGGCTGCTCAAGAGAGCTCTTCGCTGCCTGTTCTTCGCGTTAGGACGGTTTTTCAATCAGTCAGTCGTGGAAAATATCATTTAGTTGTCAGAAATGTTTAAATAGCCGAGAAATTCCGTTTTACGTAGATAAGCTACTATTAAAGACGCTCTGTACAATTTAAAGCGGCGTGTCACTGCTGGTCCACATGGTCGCTCATGTCGAGCATTTTATGGTAACGTTAGGAGTAATTTTAGGCATCTCAAGTCATGAAAGATATATCTATTTAATGATCAGCTTTTTGTTTTGTGTAGGTCCTGGATGAACAGAAACTCCAGCAGGTGGACAGCCTGTGGAAGATAGATAAGCTACTATTAAAGACGCTCTGTACAATTTAAAGCGGCGTGTCACTGCTGGTCCACATGGTCGCTCATGTCGAGCATTTTATGGTAACGTAACGTTAGGAGTAATTTCAGGCATCTCAAGTCATGAAAGATATATCTATTTAATGATCAGCTTTTTGTTTTGTGTAGGTCCTGGATGAACAGAAACTCCAGCAGGTGGACAGCCTGTGGAAGGAGTTTGAGACGCCAGAAAAAGCCAACAAAGTGTGAGTTGTACTTTTGTGAATGTCATTTTCCTACTGGTTTTTGTCTCAGAAATGTCCATGATAAGAAAGCATTTTGTTTATGGCAGAACTACAAATTTTAAGCATTCACACTTTCATGGGAAACCGGGAAATATATGATGCTGTTGTCCAGGACTAGAATTAATCAAATAAGTCCATTTCTGTGGTGACTATTTTTTTTCTCTCTAAGATATTTTCTTGGACAAATGTATCATTTTAAATGTATTTGAAATCTGTACTTGGTAAACGCAAACAACTAGGAATCTCACAGCATTTCCCTGGTTGAAATGTGTGGGAAACATTTTTTAAAAATCTTGGTCACTGTGTCCTAGTCTGTGAATATTTCATTGATTTTTATTTTCAAATGTGCATTCAGTAACACTCTTTGTATGTTCTTTCAGTGTAAAACTGAAGCACTTTGAGAAGTTCCAGGATACAACAGAAGCTCTTGCAGGTGCTGAATTGAAACATCAACACCTGTTATCCTTTATTTGTGCTTTATTTATGAATGCAAAGCTGATTGACTGTCCTTCAGCTGTGTGTCTATGATGTATCTGTATGTCTGACTCAAGCATGAGGTCGCCAAACAGTAATTCGTCACTACCACTGAGACCACAGATTTCACTACATTTATCTGATTCTAAATATACGATTAAAATAAAACAACGTTAATATATTTATTTACAAAAAATAAAAACATTCATTTAAAATGATTTTCTTTTCTTATGTTAATATCAGCGGCCACGGCGATGGTGGAGGGGAAATTGGGGAAAAGTCTGAAAAAAGTTCTCAAGAAAGTTGTGGCCAAAGAGGCTCATGAGCAGCTGGCCATCACTGATGCTAAATTAGGAGGAGTCATTAAGGTAAATGGCAAGTTTTCTAAATATTGCGGGAAATGTAAGTACAAGCCAGTGCAGTTTGCTTTATGCTTTCCATATGAAATCATGTTAAAGATATTTGCACTATGAAACCCTACAAGCTGTGATGATGACGACCTTTGTGTCATGTTGCTGAAAAATCATGAAGCCTTTTTGTCACTACCTCATCTGAGCTTGTGTATACCCCTTGAAGAATCATTTGGTAGTGGTTGATTTATGGTTAAGCATCAGGGCTGGTAATATGCAAAGACTGTTGTTCAGTTCTAGGACTCTCATTATAGTTCTCTGCTGTTTTTGCACTGTAAGTTGCTTTAGCTGAGACTCTTTGTTACCCTCTCTGCAGGAGAAGCTGAACCTGAGCTGTGTGCACAGCCCTGCTGTGGCTGAGCTCATGAGAGGCATCAGAAATCAGATGGAGGGACTTATCACAGGTCTTCCTGCCAGAGAGATCAGTGCCATGTCTCTCGGTTTGGCCCACAGGTTAGTTTACAGTTAAAATCGACAATAAATCTCATGATTTATGTCAATGATTATTTCTTGCTGACTGATTTCTCTGAGGATACTAATCCGCATTCGTCACTACCACTGAGACTCTGAGCAGAGATTCACATTACTCTCAAAATTCATGGTTTTGCACAGCGATTGACTGGTTTTCTTGTCATATTTCCTCCCAGTCTTTCGCGGTACAAGCTGAAGTTCAGCCCAGACAAGGTGGACACCATGATTGTTCAAGCCATTTGTAAGAAATACTTTTATTTATTTGTGCATATTTGAGCCCAACTATAGATTAGAAGTGGCTTAAACGGCTATACACTTGGTTCAGTCTCTTACTCTGCTGCCCATCTGTAGCTCTGCTGGATGATCTGGATAAGGAGCTCAATAACTACATCATGCGCTGCAGGGAATGGTACGGCTGGCATTTTCCAGAGCTTGGCAAGATCATCACAGATAACCTGGCGTACTGCAAGAGTGTCCGCAAGATTGGTTAGTACACGCTTGTAAGCATTTTATGAAGATGTCTAGATCAGATCTGTTAAATGCTTTTCCCTTTTGTTGGAAAGAAAAACTTTTCATTTCAGTTTTCCTCCCAAACAGTGAGGTCTAAAAGTCACAATTAAGTAGAAAAACTTAGAAATAAAACGGGTAGATCAACCAAAAATTTAAATTTACCTGCCCTCAGACCATCCAAGATGTAGATGAGTTTGTTTCTTCATCAGAACAGATTTGGAGAAATTTAGCATCCTTGTTCACCAGTGGATGCTCTGCAGTGAATGGGTGCCGTCAGAATGAGAGTCCAAACAGCTGATAAAAACATCACATATTCCACAAGTAATCCATGTGAATCCAGTCCATCAATTAACATCTTGTGAAGTGAAAAGCTGCATGTTCTGAGTATATATATATATACACACACACACACACAGTGGGGGAAAAAAGTATTTAGTCAGCCACCAATTGTGCAAGTTCTCCCACTTAAAAAGATGAGAGAGGCCTGTAATTTTCATCATAGGTATACCTCAACTATGAGAGACAAAATGAGAAGAAAAATCCAGAAAATCACATTGTAGGATTTTTAAAGAATTTATTTGCAAATTATGGTGGAAAATAAGTATTGGGTCAATAACAAAATTTAATCTCAATACTTTGTTATATACCCTTTGTTGGCAATGACAGACGTCAAACGTTTTCTGTAAGTCTTCACAAGGTTGTCACACACTGTTGCTGGTATTTTGGCCCATTCCTCCATGCAGATCTACTCTAGAGCAGTAATGTTTTGGGGCTGTCGCTGGGCAACACGGATTTTCAACTCCCTCCAAAGATTTCCTATGGGGTTGAGATCTGGAG